CTACAATCCTGGACAAAATGGTTGAGAAAATTGACACGCGCGTCCATTTCTCAGGCATATATCTCTATATCTTGTGAAATATTGAAGAAAACTGAACCCCCCCTCCCCCCAATTCAATGTTGGGCTATGGATTTATGTTCGTAGAGGTTCCTGACACAACATTGGATGATGGGGGGGGAGGGGAAGACAAAATATTATCATTGCAGGACGAGCATAGGATAATGGTGTCTTGTCATTAGAAAATTCTCAACTCTTTTTGTCCAGGATTGTAGGCAAGGTAATAAAACAATTAAATAACAAGTTAGAGATATAGGAAGTAAGTTCCTCAATAATGTTGAAATTAGTGCGCAAGAAGCAGTGTACATTGTGTTACAACTTCCAATGAGAAAATCATCTAGACAGATCATATTTATAAATACATCACCTCCTGATGAAAGAGTTGAGCTTCTAAAACCAATGGATAGTATTAATGAAATGGATGATGACTCTGAAGAAATATATACCAGTGGTTTACTCAAAAGATATTCAAAGCGCCCTGCAAAACTAGAAAATATTACACTTGCAGACTGGGCTATGGTGGCCCATAGAGGACACACTACAAATAAAAAAGAAACGTTGCAAATAAAAAAGAAACGTTGCAAATAAAAAAAAGAAACGTTACAAATAAAAAACAAACGTCGCAAATAAAAAAACAAACGCAAATAAAAAAAGAATAAAAACGTTGCAAACAAAAAAGAAATGCTGCAAACAAAAAAGACAAACGCTGCAAACAAAAAAGACAAAACTGTAGCCGCATAAATGTTTGTGTACGCTCGACGACTCGATTTACGATTCACTTGATTGTCTTTATTGATTCTTATTATAATCAGATGGCGAGAGATATAGAGGTTCACAACTAGGAATAATAAATGTACCGTATTACAATTAGGTTACTAAATATAAAACCATATAAAAAAGGGGTAAAAAACTTACATTTTGTCCTTACGTGGCTACATGTGGTTACTTGTTGATCACTTTGAGCGTAATATAATCTGCCCTAGTGCCAGTCCCGATAAGCGGGTACACGGCCGCTACATTCCCGGCCCCTAAACCTGCTTAAGGTTTACTATCTACCTAACTAAATTAATCAAGTCATTAAATCAATTTGAACGTTAACAGTAACAATTATGAAAAATAAAGGATATAAGTCCAATATAAGTAAGTGAAATATGAGTTCATTATCATAGTTCATCGTTCTTCCTTTGGTAAAAGGAGTACCAATTTGTTCACGGGTCTTCTGAGGCGAGAGGTTTTTGTCTTCACGTCTACCGCTCTGACGAGACCTTGCTTGTCGGGTTCTGTTGCTTCGATGATTCCCATGCACCAGCTGTTGCGTGGGGCATTATCTTCTTTAGCGAGAACAACATCACCAATCTCCATATTTCTCTGAGGTTTTTGCCACTTCTGACGCTTCTGTAGGGTATTAAGATATTCCGNATGTTTGAACTTAAACAAATTATGAGACAAAGAGAAAGTAAAGAGTTTGCTGAATTATTGAATAGATTAAGAGAAGGAAATCATACTAGAGAAGATATACTCAAATTAAAGGAAAGAATTCTTAATCACAATAGTTTTCGATATCCCAAAGATGCACCTCATTTGTTTATTCAAAATGCTAAAGTCAATGACTTCAATGATAAAGCTCACAATGCTCTCCAAGGTCCAAAATACTCTATTAAAGCACATGACACTGTCATTGGAGCAGATTCAGAAGAACTTAGAGACAAAATATTAAAGCAAGTACCTAAAGATCCTAGGAAAACAAAACAGCTGCATTCTGTTCTGCACTTAGCAGTTGGTGAAAGAACAGAGATATCTTTAAACACTAGAAATGATGATGGCATGACAAATGGTGCTRGTAGTATCGTAAAAGTAATGCAAATACATCAAACAGACAAACCATCAGGTATCATATGGGTGCAGTTTGACTATGCTGATGTTGGTCAGAAAACCAGACATGATAATAGACATATGTTCAGGGTATTCAGCCATCATGGACACCAATGAAACCTGTCACTACACAGTTTGCTGTAGGCAGAACAAGATCTGTTCAAGTTGTAAGAAAAAGTTTCCATTAAGACCTGCTGCTTCTAAAACAATACATAGATCACAGGGTGATACTGAAAATAGAATTGTAGTAAATTTTGAAACTTAAAGAGCCATTCCTCATATACATTATGTAGGATTAAGTAGAGTAACAACTATTATAGATGGTCTATATATAACTGACTTGTGTGAAAGCAAAATAGCTGTCAATGCAGACGTCCAAACTGAAATGCATCGGTTGAGAACTGAAGCAAAACTTTCGCTTTCTGTTAGTCCCATATATGAAGCACCTCAAAGTAGTATTCAAATCTGTTTTCTCAATGCAAGATCATTGCACAAGCATATAGATGACATACGTCATGACTTAAATTATTCTAGCACTGATGTGAATATTTTTTCAGAAACAAGATTTTGTCAKCATGAAAATGATGATTTATATCTATTACATGATAAAACCTATGTATATATAATTGTTCAGAAATGATGGTACATTAACACAAAATGTTCGACCATTTTGAGGCACAGAGTGTATACCCGTCTTGACTATTATCCAGGATATCCCTTTAGTAGTAATAAGCATGGTATTGAAATAACTCTTTTGAGATTTATGATCATACCTCATATTACAGTAGTAGGAGTATACAGCTCACCAGCAGTATCGGTTACAGTGTTATGTAGTGCTATTCAAGACATACTAGACTCACTACCAACTCAAATRAACATTTTTATGGGTGACTTCAATGTAAACTGGTTCAATGAATCACGTCGTGCATCACTTTATAACTTTTTTATAACACAGAATGGTTATAGACAGCTAGTTTCATGTAGTACTACAGACAGTAATACCTGTATTGACCACATCTACACTAATTTACCTGAAGTGCAGGCAAGCTATCAGATTTTAGAGACATATTTTTCGGACCACAAAGCCACTTGTGTATTAATCAAGAGCTTTGCACTGTAAATGACAAAATCTGTTAAATCCAACAAATTGTCTGCATAAGTCTACTTAAAGTATGTCTTTWAAAACTAAATTCAATATCTGACTGCATATGATTTTTGAGATAAAAACATTGAYACAACAAAGGTACAAAGAAAAAAATTATAAAAAATTCAAATTAGCAATGGGGATGATGATCTATCATTCAAAATTACATTCATTTGAAACTTCTTTATGATGACATTCTGTATGTCAAAACTGACCAAGTCTTTCACAGTAGATCTTGCTGTATTTTAGTCAAAACTAGTTTCTCTTCAATTGACTATTATTTATTTCAGGAGTTTTCTGTGGCCCTAATGACTTTTTCGCGGCAGAAAAATGTGCAAATTAAAAAAGGGGATATCCCCAATCAAGGTATAATTATGTGAAACATTTTTTTTATTAGTAAGTGTACATCTATCCATAAAAATAAATCATATTGAGTTGCATTTATGTAGCAGCATTTCATACTGGAGTGATAAAATAGTATAAAATATATATATTTTTTGTACATTTTCTTAGATTTGTTGTAAGCCAAACTTGGACGATCTTAAAATAAAATGCTGGAATGCATTCATGCAGGATAATAGGACACAGCTCCCGACTGACCATGTGGTAACCATTACGGACAACACAAGGAAAAAAAACATATGCAAACTCGTCGAAGATGAGCATTTGTTGAATGTACGTAATTTAGGGGTCCTTTTCGAGGTAAGCTCTATACCATATTTCTTTGAAATCAAGTGCATATATACATTATCAAAAATAGGCAGCCATCATCAAGATACAGTATACTGTTTGAGTAAAAAAAAGGCATGGCTCATGCTGTTATTTCTATTGAATATGAAATGGCATTGTATACTGTGCACAAATAAGTAATGTGTATATATACGAATTACACTTTTAATATATTTCTACTCATCTCGATTACCCTGTTACTCAGGTGGTAGAGCACTGCACCAGTATCGCAAAGTTGAAGTGACCCATTCTACTTATAATTAGGCTTAATTTATTTTTATGCTTCAGCTGTATGCATGCATGGCCGTATTTACATGCATTGCATTATTTCAATATACTATATTTAAACAAATGTTGCATRCATGCATGGACTGAGACTTATAGCTATATTAAATAATGCATACCTCACACAGACATTACTTAGAATTATATTAGGTATGTTATTATAACTGAACAATTCTTNNCTACGGCTTTCTTTAGTCGGTACCAATCGGAGTAGTGCCTAATGAGTCGATCGACTGGGTCGCTAATTTCGTGGGTTACTTTCGTGGCTGCACTGAGGACAGGTGCCTTGACTTCCGGGTCAGCTTCGTCGATTTTGTTGCTTAGAGTAAAGGGTTGCTCTGGCCATTCCTCTTTTGACTTCCATAGGAATGCAGGTCCGTTTAACCAACGCTGATTGCCGAGAAGATCTTGCGCCTCTAACCCTCGGGAAGCGTCGTCAGCTGGGTTGTCTTTCGTACCCACGTACCGCCATTGGTGAATCTCTGAAAAATCGAGGATGGTCTGAACTCTGTTTGCCACGAATACTTTGAATCTGGTGTGTTGGTTGGCTAGATAGCGAAGCACCGTAGTGGAATCTGTGTGATATTCAAAGATAGCTTTATTGTCGAGTTCATCCTTAAGCATTTGGCCTACTCGTGCTGAGACGGTAGCTGCTGTAAGCTCTAGGCGGGGAATGGTAGTAGCCTTTACGGGTGCAAGGCGGGATTTACCAAAGAGAAATGAGCAATGCACTTCATTCTTGTCGTTCTGCTGGCGAAGATATGCAACTGCTCCATAACCCGTTGAGCTGGCGTCTGAGAATAGGTGTACTTCTCGAGAAGTCACCTCACCAAAACTATCAGGTGTAAGACAGCGGTCCAGAGCGAGCGTCTCCAGTAGTGGAAGCTGCTTTCTCCATTTATCCCAGCTAACCAAGAACTTCTCGGGAACTTCAGTGTCCCAACCGATAGACTTATCACGGCAGAGGTCCTGCACTATTTTCTTTGCGACAAGAGTGAACGGTGCTACGATTCCAAGAGGGTCGTAGATTGAAGAGACAGATGATAGTATGCCTCTTCTCGTGAATGGTTTCTCGCTGATGGTGACGCGGAAGCCGAGTTTGTCTGATTCTACACACCATTGCACACCTAGCGCTCGCTCGATGGGTAGCTCATCTTGTTGCAAGTCCAAGGTCTTTACTTCWTTGGATCTCTGGTCTTCGGGGATTGACTTTAAAACATCTCTGTCATTACAGACGAACTTGGTTAAGTTGAAGCCGCCCTTTGCACAGATATCCTTGACRTCTTTCGCTAACTTTATGGCTGACTTCTTGTCTTTGACGGATCTCAGGCAGTCGTCAACATAGAAATTCTTCTTGATGGTGTTCTTGGTTTCTGTGTCGAAGTCTGCTGCGTAGTCTTCGCAGACACTTCTCAAGGCGAAGTTGGCGCAGCTTGGCGACGATACGGCGCCGAACAGGTGGACATTCATCTGAAATTCTTTTAGGTCAGCATCCAAATCCCCGTTGGGCCACCATAGAAATCTAAGAAAGTCCCTGTGGTGTCCTGGTACTTGAACCTGATAGAACATTTGTTCGATGTCGGCCATGAAAGCGATTCGCTCTTGCCTGAAGCGAGATAGGACCCCTATTAGGGAGTWAGTGAGGTTAGGACCCTGCAATAACTTGTCATTGAGTGAGACGCCGTTGTATTTCGCGCTACAGTCGAACACGACCCTTATCTTCTCTGGCTTTTTCGGGTGGTACACCCCATGATGAGGGATGTACCACACTTTTCCTTCGCTGGTCTTCAAGTCGTTGTCCGGGACCTTGCTTGCATAGCCTTTGGTTATGGTGTCGTTTATGAACTTTGTGTAGTCGAGGTGATATTGNCCAGGAAATCGAAGTCATAAAGACAGACCTGCCCATTATTTCCTCTGAAGGGAAATRAATATTATATTTACTATTTTATTATTACTCTTTCAGTTGTGACAGTCTTTTATATTTTTATCTGCAATTGTAGATGTGTCATCCCAGGAGATTAACAGTGTTTATGAACTCTTTATAATCACATAACCAGTCTACAGTAGTTTAACAATTACTTATACTGCATACTATAACTACAAAACTGAAACAATTGCGGCTTTTCATGCATGTGTTCTCCCAACAACATGCCTTATTTAGAATACCTAAAGATTTGCCAAAGTTCTATTCAAATATCTTTTAAGATAAAAAAAAAAGAAAAAAAAAAAGAATTTGGGCTGAATTAAGTTATTCAGAGGCGAATAACATACAGTGTATTTTAAAACAATCTTTGTGGAATAACACTCATATAAAGTTCGTATGTGACGTGAAGTACTTGGAATGTTTTCTGAACTGTAATATTTGTTATATAAATGATCTTTGGAACTCAAATACAGGTTTTAAGTGGGAGGATGCAAAACAAAAAGGTCTTTCAGACAAGGAGTGGTTTACTTGGTTAGGATTAATAAGGGCTTTACCAGCATCATGGCGGCAAGCACTAAAAATAAATCTTACATATAATATTGGAGAAATATCTTTTAAAAGAGAGATTTATTTATCTGGAAAGAAATATAATATAGATAAAGTGAGTATAAAGTCTATATATGAAAATATCATTTCAAAAAAGTGTGAAACTCCAACATCACAAAAAAGATGGACTGGAATCTTACACAACAATAAATGTTTCGATTGGAATAAAGCTTATTCCTTTGTCTTTAACACAACAAAGGAGACTAGGCTAAAATGGTTCCAATATAGAATAATAACAAATTGTTTATATTTAAATAAGGACGTATTCAAGTTCAAACTTATAGATAACCAATACTGCTCCTTTGGTTGTAAAGAACTAGAAACTATAGAGCATCTATTTGTAACCTGCCATTATTCAGCTAAGTTGTATAATGAAATCCAATCTTGGCTGACATGTTTTMATATAAAACTGCCTGCCCTAAATTTAACATCAATAGTTATCGGTCCTTGCACTTGCTTTAATTTTTCGCTGTTAGAGAATTTTATATTACTTTTATATAAGACATATGTCTACAGAGMAAGGACAWATAAAAATAAATGTATGTTGAACCTGAATAGCTTCAAAGCCTTTTTAGAATATTACGAAAACACTGAGTATCAAATTTCAGTGAAAAACAACAATGTGCATCTCCATCTGACAAGATTTGAAAATATAAGGAATGCACTCCATAGAAATTGACATATATTTATATTTCTATAATCTTATACTATAGTTTGCTATTACGTCTCTGTAATGTGTAATTTATCTGTACACTTGACTATGTTCACTGTACCTTTTTTGTGTATTGGTTGTGTGATTGTTAAATAAAAAAAAACAAAAAAAAACATGCCTTATTGTGGCTTACAAAAACAGTTCTCCCAACAGTAGGGATTAAAAAATGTGCACTACACTTGATTGTATACTGAAATAATGATAAATGCACTCTTTGAAACACTGTAAAATTCATATTTAATATTTTTTTATAATATTTGTTTGTACATGCAGACAGAAGAACAACGGAACCGTTTGGAAGAGTTAAGGCGGTTCAGYTCGACAGATGACTCCACAGACAGTGAGACCACTGCAGCTAGCTTGGTATGTACAAACAGATACTTATGACGTAGATGATGCCAACCCATCCCCTGTTGATATAATTTAAGCCCATGTTGCTCCACTCATAATCTGCTTTCATGGAAGACAGTTTTTACGTCAATAACATTTAAAATTTAAATTATAACTATTATTTTGTTTTTAGTATTGTAATATTACGAAATGACTAGATAATTTCCTGAATTCTGATTGCCTGGCTCGCGATCTGTCCAGAGACATTGTTAAGACACGTTGGTCCAACTTGTGTATTTTCAGCAGACCGCGTWTTTTTTGGCTGTAAATTAACTCCAATTASGTCAAAATTGAGCTAAAGACAAGTTTACTTCATGAGCTAATCCTTTTATCCAGAAATATTGAAATATGTACGCAATATTCCATTGTGGTGAATATTTAACAGCAACAGTATTGTAATTAGATTATAACCATATCAATTGATTCGTCAATTCAATTTGTGATCAATTGTTTCAATTAAACACTGTACAGCCAATGCCTTCTCTTGCAAGTCTATTATCAAAGGACAAGTTTAAGGGATCAGTGCATGAAGGTTCTTCCTCTCACAAAGGTAGTTTGTATATATTTAGAGCTGTTTTACACGAAGATTACACAGATAATCTTGTTAGTTTAACTATGTCATGAAATTGTGCAAATTCTATTAAGTACACCCTGATTTCTCTAATAGTAGGTTATTTGCATAATTTTGGCTGAAATGAATCAAGATCCCCCCCTCCCCATGTAATTGTTTACAACTTAACATCACAAAACATTTTACATAAGKCACTATAATTACAATCCGTTAATTATAACTCCTTCTTTGAATAGACACACGAAAGACAGCAAAAAAGGCAGCAGAAAAACACCTCAAAGATCACTACAATATCAAGTACAAATATCGCAAGGATATAAATCAAACAGAAATCCCCCACAGGATGTGTAGTGCGAATACAGATGAAGTCATTGTAATTGATGACGATATTTCATTTATAAAAAAAGGTAAATTTTCATAAACATTACAATTTAAGTTACAATTCTTTTATTTGGGCAATATTATTCAAGACTGTTCAAGACTGTTATTCTGTGCTGTTAATATGCTTGCATCATTAGGCAACTGCAGTGTCTCCTTACAAGTTCAAAATAGTAAGGATGATGTTGTTTCAAATATCCTCCTTTATGTTGGAGGGTCATGTTTTTACATAAGAGTTTCTCATTTTCTTGTGTAATATTTTTTCTTTCTTATTTCTTATTCATTCAAATAGTTATTTTTTTTCTCCATTTTATCAATTCATAGGAAATGTGATTAACGAATCCAATTTCGAAKAGTGTGAGATTAGSGAAAAGGACCTGGAAGTGAAAGAAAAAATTGGCAAAGGCCAGTTTGGAACTGTGTTTGCCGGGCTGTGGAAGGGGATGCAGGTGGCCGTGAAGGAATTGGCACTCGGATACGGCAAGCCCGATCTTCGTGAGGTTGAACTCTGCAGGCTAGTCTAAAATATGTTTGCTCCAATCTTATTCTTACATAGTGGATTTCAAAATTCATATCCATCTGATATAATATCTAATGAATATATTATTTTTGCACTATTGACCAATGCAATTGTCTGTATGTATACATTTAATTTATAGTCCAGTGAGCTGTCTGACATTTTGTTTTATAATTTTGCCTCAGAACTTCACTATTATTATAATAACTATTAAGAGCGGGTGTCTGAAAATATCGACTAACATTGTAAAAAATCAAAAAATCAAAAAATTCCAAAAAAATCACAGACATAGCCCCAGGTGAGATATAAATGGGAAAAATAGTAAAAACTGGATCAGAGTTTTATTTATCGAGAAATCGGCGATTTTCTGTTTTCGCGTAATTCAGAGCAAATTTACCGTCTTTTAGACTACCTCACTCAAAAATCAATAAAAAATTCAGAATCAATCCGATTGAAAAATCCTTTGGCGAGAGATGAAATAGTTTGCAACAATGCTGTGAGCTTGGATTTGCACTTCTAGAGTTTTTTATATTTTTTAGAATTTCTAATTTAGACAATTTTTGTAGATCGAAAAACATTACTCACTTCAAGGGCGAAAAACCTTTATTTCCACATGGATTTGAAACAAGTGACTATTATAGCTGAAAAGTACAAGGATTCATCTTCCAAAAGCCGTAATAAAATTTTTGGGCTACTCAAATTACACGATTTACAAGGCCTCGTATTATCTACTTGAAAGGTCAATTAGCCGCCATCTTGAATGTCATAAGACGTGACGATTCGAAGCATTAAACCAAGAATATCGACTTATTATTCAATATTCATGTATACCTACTAATATAAAATAGTCGATGGCTTTTATAAAGGTTAAAAGGCCGAGAATGATTAATTTTTGAATGTTTTGTTGATATATAAACACTAGCGATTGTCACGCAACTCTAGTCAGTATTCGGAAAAATACACACAAGGTCCGGCAAGGACTGCACGCATTACATTACAATACTCTCACCTTTTGGATTGTAGAAATCGCCTTTCTAAATCTTCATCCAGCTAGAATACCAATTCTAACATTTCAAGTAACTCTAAAGTTTGTTTTTGATGCGAAACTTCACGCATCTTCTTTCGGATAGAAATTTGTTAATTTTGACGATTGTGTTACACACAGGAAGCCCACTTACCACTGTCCAGTATCAGATTTTTTCCAACATTCCCTCTTTCATTAAACACCTTTTTTAATCAAAATATCATTATAACCGTAAGAAAGTCATTTACTCAATTAGTTGCGTAATATAAATATATTTGTGTTATAATAGCAATACCGTCAAATACTGACGTGACATGTGATACACAGGAATACCAGTCAGACTATCATTTTCAAAAATACATATCTATGTTTATCTTTCAATTATTCATCTACAACTCTAACGTGCCAACACTCCAAGACGAGTTTTGCTGAATGAGATACCAAATAGAAGTTTTAGTTAATTCTTACAAAATTTATTTAGATTCTGAAATCTGGCAAGAGCAAGATTTGATTAGTCCCTCGATCATTTCAATGTAGGGACGTTTCACTGATTTTTTAGGAGCATCGAGATCAATTAGACGAAAAT